GGTGGGAAGATAAACATTTCCGTGCACTCTGGTTTCCACCATGGTGTCCTGAGGCACCAGAAACAGTTTAGTCATGCTGGCCACATGACCTTGAAAGCTGTCTGTGGACAAATGCTGGCTCCCTCAGCCTGAAAGCGAGATGAGCGCCACAACCCCATAGTCACCCTTGACTGGACTTAACCATCCAGGGGTCCTTTACCTTTACTTTTTTTTGTTGGATTATAACTCCCATCATTCCTGATTTTTGGCTTTGTAAATAGGAACTGATAGGAGTTGTAGTCCAGTAACAGCTGGAAGGCACCATGTTGACTGCATACTGAGCTAGGTCTACCATTGGTTTGACTCAGTATATGTCAGCTTCTTTGGGGTGTAACATTTGAACAGGGGCTATTTCCACCCACTTGAACACATGTTCCTGGGTTGCATAGTTGGAATCGCAAATAAAATTCCAGGATTGACAGGGCATGTGTTAGATTTCGTGCATGCGGGCATTGTGCAAATGTTACTCTCTCATGTGGCAGTCTGTGGAAGAGTTGATGTGCTGCCATATGGGGGGGAGGGGAAGCATGGTGCACTCTAGCTCCTCGCCATGTATGTGCTCTGGAAGGTAGGACTTGAACCAATGGCTTCAAGTTACAAGGAAGGAGATTCCGACTAAACATCAGGAGGAACTTTCTGACAGTAAGAGCTGTTCAACAGTAGAACAAATTCCCTTGGAAGGTGGTGGGTTCTCCTTCCTTGGAGGTTTGTAAGCAGAGGTTGGATGGCCATCTGCCATGGATACTTTAGCTGAGATTCCTGCATTGCAGGGGGTTGGACTAGATGACCCTTGGGGCCCCTTCTATGATTCTGTGAACCAGATAGATTGTAGGTATCATGCAATTAGGGATGGGTGACCCTGTCCATTTCAGTTTCTCTCAGGGTGGGACCACACCATACATTTAAAGCACACCCATTCCACATTTAAGTACCTTACATTCCCCCAAAATCCTGGGAGATGTGGTTGGTTAAGGGTTCCGGATATTTGCAGCTCTGTGAAAGGGGAGCTACAGTTTCCAGGATTCTTTGGGGTAAGTCAAGTATTCCAAATGTTGGCGTCAGGCTGGAGCCAGCAAGCGAGCAACAGGCCAGACTTGGACAGAAGCCCAGGGGACAAAGGGAGGTTTGTTATGGGAAGACAAGAGGAAAGTACAGGGGGGAGTTCACAGCCCAAAGAACCACAGGACTTAGCAGATGATAGATTGTCCGAGCCAGTTTCCAAACCTCTCAGCGTGCAAGAATGCAGAAGAGGAGGGGTGCAAGAAAAGGGGAAATTGACATCAGAGAAGTGACGGAAGAGAATCATTTTCACGCATTGTTTCCGGAGGAAGAGGAACAATGCTGAGTATTTCGTTGAGTCATCATCAGGGTAGCCATAAGCCACAGGGGCAGAGAGTTCCGGACAAATGGCATGTTCTTCTGGAACAAAACCAACTTTTAATTGACTGTACGTGTACACGTCTTCCTGCCGCTACAGTTGGGTGTGCTTTAAGTATGTGGTATAGATCTGCACTCAGTTTCTCATATCCCCCCCCCCCAATCTTAAGTTCCATTCTACACATTTTCACATTGATATGCAATTTTTTTAGTCCTCACAATGTACACATTTTTTCCTATCTAATTTACAAAATGCTATGCACTCTGTATGTTATTTTCACTGATAAATTATCATTGTATAAGCATTTTTCTACACATTAAACAGTGGGAGAATTCCATTGCAAAATTCGGAGAAGTGAAAATTTCAAAAGATGGCGGTGTTTTGGTTCACCCATTGTTTTAGAAAGTGAGAATTAGGGGAGTTCATGTTTAAATGCTAACCAGATTGTATTTATTCCCCATCACTACATGCACTTCAGCTCAGCTTTTCCAGATGTGTTTCACAGAACCCTACATTTCCATTACATCTTATCTTATCAATAATTGCTGGCTGGCTTTCCTGGAGGACAGCTGATGCATTAGTGAAAACACCTTGGCCGAAGGATTAGGTTAAAATGTCACCATCACTGCAGCTACCATCAATTAATTAATAATCACAACTACTACTCGCTATCCACTTTAGATTCAAGACACAGGGATCTCAGAATGCTTCTAAGTGTCTAGCAAAACTATGTGAGATGTTTTGCTCCAGCAGTGAAAGGGAAGAAATTTATTTATTTGCTATTTGCAGTCTAGCTGAAATATATACTACCAATTGGGGTAGTTTCACAGAGCATGCCATAAAACAACTTATTTTGCCATCTAAAGACTGCTTTATGCTTCCTGAAATCATAGCCGGAAAATTCACACAGCCGACTCAGAGAGGAGGTTATATGAAATATAGTCTGCTGCATCACTCAGTCTTGTTCAGAAAGCTATAACTTACAGAATCACCAAAGATCAGTCTTGAGATGCAAGAAAGCAAAGGTTATGATATGAGGGTTATGGGATGATACAATTGCTGAGCTGAACTGGCTATTTATTTTACAGCAAATTAACCCTGAAGTTCCAGTGCTCAGATTAGAGACAGGCTCTGTGTGTTTCATGACAGTGTGCAGGTACGCAATCTTGTATAGGACATATAATTCGACATCTTTATTCTCAGCAAGTTTCTAGCCCTTATAGATGCAAAAATAGACTTGAGTTGAAAATACCCAGTTGAAGCTCAGAATGGTGAAGAAAGGAGTTGCAATGGATTTCAACTTTTCAGGGGCTGATGTTACAGTGCCATTTCCTATGACCATCATAATAATAATAAATTTAGCAAATATATGCACATGTGTTCAAATAGCACATACAGATCAAATGTCTTAAACAGAACAATGTAGGGATCCCTTAAGCTTCCCTAGGGATAACATTCCATAGCTGTGGAGCCATGACTAAAAAAGGTCCTTTCCAGATTGTGGAGAGAAGACACAAAGAAGAACCTCCACAGATGATTTCAAGGTGCTAGTACAGTGGTACCTCGGGTTAAGAACTTAATTCGTTCCGGAGGTCCGTTCTTAACCTGAAACTGTTCTTAACCTGAAGCACCACTTTAGCTAATGGGGCCTCCCGCTGCGCCGCCAGAGCACAATTTTTGTTCTCATCCTGAAGCAAAGTTCTTAACCTGAAGCATTATTTCTGGGTTAGCGGAGTCTGTAACCTGAAGCGTATATAACCTGAAGCGTATGTAACCCGAGGTACCACTGTAGGTATCTACTGAAGGGTTCATTCCATCACATATTGAGACCCCAAGCTGTATAGATTTGTACAGGTCAAAACCAGCACTTACCACGCATGACCACACGTACACAAAAGGTTGGGCTGCACAAATCAACAAGTGTGTCCTCTTTCACAAAAGCGGTTTTGTGTAGAGCAGTTTTTACCTGTGTTCAGGGTAACATGTGAATAAGCCTCCTTCCTTCGATGGAAGCTAGAAGCATGGGCAGAAGCCTTCCTTCCAAAAAGTTGGAAACTTAGGAAGAACTTAGCAGATGCATTCAGCTGTCGTGTTCTGCACCCACCACTTAGACCTAGATCCAAGGATGCCGAATGAAAGGGTTAAAAATGGGCCCGATCAAATTAATGTGGGGAACCTGCTGTCTTTCAGATGTTGTTGGACTCCAGTTCCCATCAGCCCCAGCCAGCATCATGGATGATGGGAGTTACAGTCCAGGAACTGTGCAGGGAGTAGGGCACAGGCCCCCACATCTCTGTCACAGGCCCACAGAAGTCACTAATATGGTTGTGGGGCAGAGGGGAAGGGAGCTTAGACACAAAACTTATATAATATTTAGTTTGGTGCTGAGACAAGGAAGAAGAGGAGAGAAATAAATTCAGCTGAAAAGATGACAAAATAAATAGGCAAAAACAACTATTGCCATGCAAGTCGCTTTCAATCAAATGGCTGTAAAGTTGTGTGTTACATTCAAGGCAAATTTTCAGAGGCAAGGACAAACAGCAAATCTTTGATGTCTTCTTGTCATCTATAATTTGATTTAAGTGTAAGTTCTTTTCAAAAATTAGATTATCAAAATGAAAATACTGCAGTTATTTTGAGTGCTACAGAAATGTCTACATTTCGAAGTGCCTGTTATATGCAATCATTTAGAACCTCGACAATTCAGCACATCTCTAATGAACTCAGATCAGAAAATGTATCCAGAATAGTTCACTTTCAGATGTAATATCGCCTTGTTTGTCTTTGTGCTTGATATTTTCTTTAACATATTGGGTTGCCAGACCCTTAGATAATGTATTTTTGAAACAGCGCCACGCAGGTCTAAAAGCCAGAAATGCAACGCTAGTTTGAATAGCAACCCAAACTTCCAACAGATATATGAGGATGTAGAGAATCATGTGTTCATAAATAAAAGTGCCGTTCCTTGCCTATGCAGATATGCAGATATGGAGGTAGAAGGCACACTCCAAATTGTGGGTACCACAGTGAATAGTCTCTGCCCTGTGCCCTTGCACATACAAGCCAAGTGTGTAACGAGCCATTTCTGTGCTAATTAATTGCCCTCTCATAAACTTGTACCATGGATCGTGAGGTGCTGTTCTGTGAGGAAGCAAGGAACTTCAACTAGGAACCTGTTTCTGTAACCACTAAGAAGCCAGACTAGATTTAACTCAGACAGTAAAAGGTTCCTAGGTTCCAGACTGATTATGCCCAGGTTTCCCATGACCTGGAAGGACTATAAATACTTCAAGGTCTGTCTAGGACTTCACCAAAGCAACATTATCATTCTCTGTGTTTGGGTCTCCAGCTGTCTCCGTGCCTGTCTACAGATCACCACCTACAACCTTTATGCCTTAAAGTTTCAGAGGACTGCTTCAGAAACGCTGAGATCTCACTGCTCAGTTTGATTGCTCCTGCCCAAAGGCTGCCGCATCTCATTATTACAGTATCATTATTATTTTCTGGCTGCTGCTCTCTAGTTATGCATACCTCTCTTCTCCTGCAGCTGCCAGCAATGGCTGGATGTGATTTGCAGTGTTGGGCTGCAGGTACTAGGCCAATGAGAAACTGCAATGGTGAGTGACTATCTCTCTGCCTCCCTGGCCTGCTGCCCCAACTAATCCTCCGAGGAAGGTGACACTTGGTTTTTCATCTAGCATATTAAAAATGTGCTTAATTATTCTAAGCTGAAAACAAAATACTAACAGATTTAACATGATGTATGATGCCTGAGCATCACTTTTCTGTCTAAGGCAGGTGTTCCTAACATCCAACCACAGCTGCCATAGTTTACACTCTGCTCTCTAACGCAGATGAAGAGGAACATAATATCTTAATATGTGCAGTCTATCAGTTAAGCTCAGAAAGGTTGTGGGACTATTTTTAAATTAAATAAATGAGCCTATCTCAACTGCAATGCAAGGCAGTTAAACTGCATTGTTTTTATACCACCAGAGGAGTGAGCTCATTTAAAGTCATGTATGCTATTAACATAGCAGTAGTCTTTTTGATATTTGTGTGTGTGTGTGCCTGCGCGCATGAAATGCTTCAGCTCTAATTTAATTTTGTGTTCTCATTGGAATGTTGATCAGAATTAATTGCTTTTTAGTTCTGTTGCCGGAATAAAGTTAATAGAGATATTGAATAAAGTAAATGCATTCTTTCCAGCACTGAACTTTGGAAAAATAAGGCAGAGCCTCTTGTACTCCCACAGATTTACTGCTCCGGGTGTAATGTGTAACTTGCATTTCTTCATATGAATGTCGAAAGCCTCGGTATTACTCAAGATAGCTTGCAATTTAATTGTTTAGATAATTTGCAGTTTAATAAACAACTGACAACGACTCATTATTAGGAGGGCAGACCTTTGAAAATACTTTGTCCCCTTTTTCATTCCCTAATATAGCAGAATCAAAATAGTGTTTGTTATCATTCAGTGCGGCTGTTAATTAATTCCAAGTTTACATGCAGACAGACCTGGCTAGTGATTTCATCCCATGGCAGGCTACTGCTCATACTAACATAAGAAAAGTTGTACTGGAACAGACCAAAGGCCAACTAGTCCATCATCCACGGTGGCCACCCACTTCCTGGAGATGTCCACAAGTAGGACATGAGGGTGATAACACTCTCCCACTTGTGTTCTGCAGCAACTGGAATGCCACCATGACTTAGAATCATAGAATCATGGACTTGCAGGACTAGGCGTCGGGCTCACCATACCCCAACCCATGCAAATAGGAGACCAATAAGACTGGTTTGGGGTCAAAACAAGCTAGAACTTTATTGAATACAGATGAAAGAGGTTTGGCTTGGGCATGGGGCAATCAAAATACTTCTGGCCTGCCCGCTGGAAGTCATGCGTTGTCAATCCAGGCAGGGGTTCCTAAGACTTATATCAAATAGGGTGACCCCCGCAGGGTCCTGGCCCCCCATGGGCACATGGACATGGCCACTCCCCCGGATCACTTTAACAGGATCTCCAGCATTTGGAGGGGCAGGTGGAGACTACAACCCCCCCTGTCCAAAACACAGGATTGCCCCAATGCCCAACCAGTTGTGGTGATTGCTATGAGGTAGGCAAAACCACCGGGTCACTGCCAATTAGCCCAGTAGGCTAATTCCTACCTGGCCCCATAAAGAGCTGTGACCACCGTAGCCACAGCAAAGTCATTGACTGTCAGCTTAAATCCGGCGACGGAACAAACAGGTAGTGCCCTAGGTGTGGGCTGCTTCAATGGGGCTAGGGGTGGGTCCTAGGGAAGCCTACCTGCTCCGTCAGCTCTGCCCCCTGGCACAGCCCATGTCCCCAGCCTGCATCCCCATTCACCAAAACAGGGGGCAGGCTAGGATACGCTTCCCAATAGGAAGGGGCTTAAGCCCCCACTGCCTACCAGGAAGGGCACCACTGTTCCAGTTCCCTCCTTGGGGCCCCAGTGCCATCCTGCAATGCTGCCACACCAAGAGGGGTGAGCGGACTTGTAGAGTTGGAAGGGGAGGTGGCGTTTGCCCATTCCTTGTGATTATGTTTGCACAGGGGGATGGAAATGGTTAATGTAGATTGACCAATGAGAAAGCTCAGAGGCGGAGCCTACCTGGTTTTGAGGCTCAGCCCAGGGATTTACCATGGAGAGAAAGAGGCGTGAGGGTCAGACAGAGGCAGAAAAAGTCAAACATAGTGGTTGTGACAGTTAAGAGTGAGAGACAGGGATAGAACTGAGAGAGAAGAGTGTGACAGTGTGAGATAGTGCCACATCTAGTTAAGGGCGCGCATCTGATAAACCGTTCTGAACATTTTTAAAACTTGTTTGTTCTTCAATAAACTTTAATCTTTGTTGTTGACTTTAAAACCTGACTGAGACTCAGTATTTCACCAGAAGAAACCTGGTTGGTGGCAGCGGAAGAATAAAGCAGTGGTGCACAGGTCAATAGTCCGTGAAACAACTGGGAGCTCTGTATAAACGCCACAGGGACCATAAGGGAATATTTTGCCCAACATGGGGCTTGAACCCACAACCATGAGATTAAGAGTCTCGTGCGGTATCAACTGAGCTATCCCAGAGTATATTTGTAGCCATTGATAATCTTATCCTCCATTAATTTATTTGACCCCCTTTTAAAACTATCTGAGTTGGTGACTGTCAGGTTTCTTTCCCAAAGCACAATGACAGTGACTCTTACTCGAAAGTAAAGAAGAGATCTTTATTCAGACTAACAGAATTACAGGCTCAGCATCAAGCACTAGGTCCAGAAATCAAAATTCCAAGCACTGAATTGGCAGCACTGCGTCCTTCTTGATGTTGTTGCTTTAATTTGGAGGAAAGCTTCCAAACCTGAAGCCCATTGCAACCAGCTCCTTCCATGCAAATTTGTCATCTATGACAAGGATAAATCATACGTGCAGATCGTTTGTCAAAGTTGTGAATGGGCTGCAAACAAATGCTCCGAAAAATTATTCAAAATGTGAAGAAGTGGAAAGATGCTAAAGGGATTTTGTACTCTGGGTGACTTTGAAAAGGAGTTGGGAGCCCAAGACTCTCCAGATGTTGCTAAACTGAAATCCCATCCCTGAGCAAGGCTGGGGCTTATGGAAATTGGAATTCCAACAACTCATAGAATCACAGAATCATAGAGTTGGAAGGAATCCTGAGTTTCATCTAGGAATTTCAGCTAAAGCATCCATGGCAGACAGCCACCCAACTTCTGCTTCAAAACCTCCAAGGAAGGAGAGTCCACCACCTTCCAAGGGAGACCATTCCACTGTTGAACAACTCTTACTGTCAAAAGTTTCCCCTGATGTTTAGTCACAATCACCTTTCTTGTAACTTGAAGCCATTAGTTTGGGTCCTACCCTCCAGAACAGGAGAAAAACAAGCTTGCTCCCTCTTCCATGTGACAGCCTTTGAGATATTTGAAGGTGGCTATCATATCTCTCCTCTTTTCCAGGCTAAACATGTTGTTGTTGTTGTTTAGTCGTTTAATCGTGTCCGACTCTTCATGTCGCCATGGACCAGAGCACACCAGGCACTCCTGTCTTCCACTGCCTCCCGCAGTTTGGTCAAACTCATGCTGGTAGCTTCGAGAACACTGTCCAACCATCTCGTCCTCTGTCGTCCCCTTCTCCTTGTGCCCTCCATCTTTCCCAACATCAGGGTCTTTTCCAGGGAGTCTTCTCTTCTCATGAGGTGGCCAAAGTATTGGAGCCTCAGCTTCGTTATCTGTCCTTCCAATGAGCACTCACAGCTGATTTCCTTAAGAATGGAGAGGTTTGATCTTCTTGCAGTCCATGGGACTCTCAAGAGCCTCCTCCAGCACCATAATTCAAAAGCCTCAATTCTTCGGCAATCAGCCTTCTTTATGGTCCAGCTCTCACTTCCATACATCACTACTGGGAAAACCATAGCTTTAACTACCCAACTCCAAGTCGTGGAGGGCCATAGGTTCTCTTTCCCTGGTCTTGGGGCAGGGACAGAGAGTTTAAATGCACCTTCTGAATGTCCTGTTCAGCACTTCGGAGCAGCTCTCTCTGCCTAGCGATGACATCCACTAATAAACGGCTCTGCAAATAGATCTGGGCAGCCTGTACTTGTCTGCAGTTTCTGCAGATTGGGATCAGAGAGGTTTTGAGAGGAACTTCTTGTTCCCTGATTATTCTTTTGGCAGGCTCTAGGACAAGGGGCCTGCTGGAATTGCTTTTTAAAAAATTACTGCGTGTGCCTCTCTGGCTGTAAAATATGCCCATATAAATGTGTTATCTGTCTATTAGTTTCCTAAGTGAAAAATGTACAGGGGTCTCTGATTAAAAGGGACAAAGATATCGCTCATTGGTTCTGACAGTGAGAATGTTGCTGAACAATGTCTCCCCTTTCTTGCAGGAACGGAGACGCTAATGTGAAACCGAGGCACATTCTCTTGCATGGAGAATAGGCAGCAGGATATTTTCTCTCTGGCGAGACGCTTCATCACCGGACAGTGAGCCTGCTATGGGTTTTTAATGCCAACTCATATTGTGAGGCTGGCTGAAAGATGCTTTTCTTTCCCCTCCAGGAAATTGAGGTTGAATTTTAATTCAATGCCAGTCATTACTGGATCACGGCTGCATTATTTCATGTCCTGTTCAACCATTCTCGTGTGTCTAATGTTCACATTCACGGCGGAGAAGAAACAGCAGATATTATTCACATTCACCCCAAAATCAAATGGACTCTTTCCTGTTGAAACTATGTCAAGGCTCAATTAACTGTTATGCTGAACGATGTGCCAGGGTAGGATGTCAGTCAAATTGCCTTTCTGTTTATGCAGCGGGATGCATGCGACTAAATTTTACTCAGAGTAGACTCATTGAAATTAATGGGCCTAAGCTCATTACATATCCTTAGGCACCAGGTAAAAAAGTGGCCTTTTGCTGATTAATGTTCTATGGGCTTTTAAATGTGTTTGTGGGAGTGGGATTTTTTGCTTTGTTTTTATTTTGTTATGTATTTTTGGTTCTCATTTTTATTTTTATGATGTGAACCACCCTGTGATCTTTGGGTGAAGGGGGGTGTACAAATTTAATAAATAATAATAATAATTGATAATGCCTATTAATTTCACTGAGTTTGCTCTGAGGAAAGCTGAGTTGAATACCATTCCGTGTAATTATCTTTTCACGTGGCTGTATGAACTATGTTGGAAGCAAGCTTTCAGGTCATGCAGGACTCACTGAGAGCACACCTGTATTTCTTAAGGGGTTCTAGTTTCTCACTATATGTAGAAGCTGTTCGGCGTTTTCTGCAATTGGACTTTGCGTGACCACCAGCTATGCAACTTTGGATGAATCAATGCATGTGCAATTGAGTTACCGGTAATTTCTTTTATTTTTCGAGAAATTTTCATTTGCAAATATAGCAAGAAATAAAGAAACACCATCAGCTGACATTACCCCCCCCCCCCCCGAGAGCTACAATTCTCAGAGTGGATTAACAATCAATCCCTCATTGCAGGAAACTCTTGCAATTGTAGCTTTCTAAGGGAAATAGACATCTCTTAAGAAATCTCAGCACCCTATTCAACACTATGGTGCCTCCATTAAAAGGCAAAAGGTCTGTCCATAGACAGCTTTCTGGTTCATGTGGCTTCTGGCACAACAGAACACCATGGCAGAAACCAGAGTGCACAGAAACGCCACGGGTGGCACTGTGGTCTAAACCACTGAGCCTCTTGGGCCTGCTGATCAGAAGATCAGCGGTTCAAATCCCCGCGACGGGGTGAGCTCCCATTTGTCTGTCCCAGCTCCTGCCAGCCTAGAACTTCGAAAGCATGCCAGTGCAAGTAGATAAATAGGTACCACTGCGGCGGGATGGTAAATGGCATAAAATCCAACAACATCCAGAGCGCACCATGTTGGCTGTCCTATTCTACACTGAGTGGTAGAATCTCTCCAAGGTTTTCAGCAGGGGTATTTCCCAGTCCTACCTGGAGATGCCAGGATTGAACCTGGGTCATTCTGCATGTAAAGCAGTTGCTCTACCACTGAACTGCAGCCTTCCCCTCCACCCCCAAATATCTGAAAATTTAGGTGACAACCCAGGGGTACTGTCTGGGGAGGAGGGGAGGGGATCTTTGACACTCTACTTTGCATACAGGCCAGATGCAGGACAAATATTTTCTGATCCAGTTTGTAGATGATGCATCTTTAGGCGTATATACACACACACACACAAACACACACACACACCAGCTTGTGATTTATTTCCATTAAGGAGTAAGCTGGTGGTTTTATTAAAGCTTCCAATGTTTCAAATGTATTTTTCTACGCTGATTTAGAATGTCACGCTTCTTTCTTGCTTACAAGGAGGTGGGGGGGCGGCGGGGGCGGCTTCCGGTGTTATTTATTTATTTTTATAGGTGGCATTTTTTCTGTAATCAAAAAATACATTCTAAGGAACCGATTTTCTGAAGCATGAAATGGATATATAAATACTATTCTGTGACCTGTAACATCCAATTTCAGACTCCTTTGTCGAGCGACACCTATCTAGCAGGAAACTAAAGATTCTCTCTCCTTGGACAGTCAGATGTAAATATATATATTTTTAAAGAAAAAGAATTAAACATGCCATGTGAATTTTTGAAACCTTACTTTCTTCCTGGGCTCAAAAGAGGCAGGGATATAAACCATAAGCTGTTTCCAAAACCCCTGAAATGTATATATAATTGCTTCCTTAGCCTTCCATCCTTGCTCCCTTTTCTGCCTGCCATCTAGATATTTATTACAGCAGCCCAGCCTACACAGAGTCTGTCATTGTCGACTTGGAAATAGGTCTCCTTGGGTTCAATAAGATTTGCTCCTGTGCCAGGCTATAAATCGGGTCCTCCCTTAAAGAGGGCTTGTGTTGTGATTACACCTGGCAACCTAACCCTGTGTTGTGGGTGGGTACGTTTGGATAGCCACAACAACCAATTGGTAGGTCCCTTTATGCAGGGTTCAATCAGGCCAATGGGATGCAGGCTAAACGGATCAAGGGACCTATGTATACCTATGCACATGATGACCCAGAGCTTCCTCTTTCGGTGCGTGCATCGGAACACCCACCCACCTCTCCCTATATTTAGGGCTTGCGCGCTTGACCTTGCTATGCCGTCGTGTGTTGTCTGTCGTTGGGACAGGGGCACGGCAGGAATTTTCCCCACTTGGCTGATTGGCTGTTGCCATTTGGGTTTCGCCTGCCACGTAGCAAATCGTCACAACTTGTAAGGTTGCGGATAGGTTCAGGTGATAGGGATGGGAGAACGCTCTCGCCATCCCTATGTGAAGGGTATTCTGTTAAAGGAATCCAGGGACTCGATGGTTTGGTCATCCCTGTGAGAGGGTTGTGCCCATGCCTGAGTCCAGAGGGGCATTTGGGTGGCCAAGATAGCCTTCTCCCGGCTTTCCGCTTATCCAGGTGTTCACCCTAGGCTGAACTATGCTGGTGCCCTGGGTCAGCGCTACCTGCAACGGTGCAGGGAGCTAGTCGAACCAGAGCCTATGCAACCAGTCGCTTTCTGTAATCAATAAAGTTGTGGGCTAAATCCTGCCAAAAACCATACCAAAATTTGCCTCTTGTGGATTTATTTAAGGGGGAGGTTTAAAGGTCTCAACATGCAATTGTACGCATGCGCACAACAAAACTGTGCATGTTTGCTGAGAAGCCATCCCAGTTGAATTCAATGGGATTGACTTCCAGGTAAAATGTGCATGAGAGCAGTCCTAGGAACCAGCACCAGCCCTGATTCACAGCGTCATTGAGTGTTTTTGCCTGGCTTTAATACAGTGGTACCTCGGGTTAAGTACTTAATTTGTTCCAGAGGTCCGTTCTTAACCTGAAACTGTTCTTAACCTGAAGCACCACTTTAGCTAATGGGGCCTCCTGCTGCTGCTGCACCACCGGAGCACGATTTCTGTTCTCATCCTGAAGCAAAGTTCTTAACCCAAGGTACTATTTCTGGGTTACTGGAGTCTCTAACCTGAAGTGTCTGTAACCTGAAGCGTATGTAACCCGAGGTGCCACTGTATGTTGGTGCTGCTTCTCCCCCAGCAAGGGAGGAGAAGGGGGTCTTTCAATCTAGCAGGCCTAAAGGCTTGCCCTGCCTGAATGATGATTGTCTTAGCTTGATGTTGACTTCCCCTCTCAGCTTCACTGGATGGCACCAGGTTCTCATGAGCCAGTGTGGTGTAGTGGTTAGAGTGTCAGACTAGGACCTGGGAGACCAGGGTTCAAATCTCCACTTGGCTGTAAAGCTCATTGGATGACTTTGGGCCAATCACAGTCTCTCAGCCTAGCCTGCCTCACAGGGTTGCTGTGGGGGTTAAATGAGGAGGAGGATATAACCATGCCACCTTGAGCTCCTTAGAGAAAAAGATGGGATATAAATGTAATAAAGAAATGAAATAAATAAAAGACGATGAACTCTCTACATCTTGTTCATAATTTTATACACCTCCACCATGTCCCCTCTTTTTACTCATTTTTTTCCTCTAAGCTAAGCCCCCACCCCAATGCAATCATTCCTTTCTAAAAAAGTTGGCTGCATTTTCTTTTTAACACCAACATAAAGTGTACTCGATCTCCCGGTCCCAGCTGAAATAAGTCCATGGAGCATCTCATGAGTTTTAAAGAGGCATTTTTACAATGGCATTTAAAATGGTGTTATTATCTCCTCTGATTTGCACTGCTATGATTTATTATATGATGGACTACTCTCTGGTCAGCAACAATGAAATGCAGGGTGGGTGGGTGTGATGGATGATAGATAGATAGATGATGATAGATAGATAGATAGATAGATAGATAGATAGATAGATAGATAGATAGATAGATAGATAGATGATAGATAGATAGATGATAGATGATAGATAGATAGATAGATAGATGATAGATAGATAGATAGATAGATAGATGATAGGTAGATAGATGATAGATAGATAGATAGATAGATAGATAGATAGATAGAGATAGATAGATAGATAGATGATAGATAGATAGATAGATAGATAGATAGATAGATAGATGAATGATAGACAGCAAAAACATCAGAACTTCAAAACAGAACCTATGCATGGGTGCTCAACCATTTTTAGTCCAAAGACCTTACCGTAATTCCTAAATAAAGATTAAGCTTGGATCTTTATAAAAGGGTTAAATACTGGGAAATGAAGTCTGAAGGTTAACACACACAAAATCTTTATTGGATTTGAAGGACAGGACTGTGATGGGTCCTTAGATCAGAGGCAGAGCAAATGCTGTGACAGTATCGGGTCCCCAGTTCCATTTCTGATTCAAAAGATTTCAGGTTGGAGAGCTGGGAAAGTTCCATGCCAGACCAAGGATGGGGAATCAGTGGCTTTCCAGACATTCCTGGACTACAATTCCCATCATCCCTGACCACTGGGCCATGCTGGGTAGGGCTGATGGGGTTAACAACACCTGAAGGACCACAGGTTCCCCACCTCCCTTTTAGATATCCTGGGAGTAGAGCACTGAGGACCATAAAAAACTGCCCCGTTGATGTATTCAATAGTTGAGCTTCCCATAATCAAGTTGGTTAAAAATTTACAACCCTAATTTGAGTTACATGAAGACAGAGATCTATCCTGATGTAAAGTATAGCCATTCAAGTCTTCTATATAAAAAAAATTAAAACTTGGTGACATCTCAAGAAAGTCTCTGGGCACGAGATCAAGGTTTCTGCTGAAAAAGAAAGGAAAGGAAATCACCTGGTTAGTTACTCTCTTCTCATGGTTTTTGTAGACCTCTGTCAAACACTTAACTTTTTTTAATGCCTCCCTTAATTACCTTTTTAAAAATAATAAACGCAGAGTCATGCTTTTGATAATTGAAATGTAAATTTCAAGTAGTATATCACTTACATGCAATATATATTGTAATCGAGTGCCCCCAGAAGTCAAACTTGGGTGCCAAATAATAATTACATTTCTTTTGCGCAAGGTCGTTGGTAAAGTTCTGGGATTTGTATCCTCAGACTTTCCACAAGGAAGGGAGTTCTAAGACTGCCTGTATTGCAGAACTAATGAATTGGCCTGTCATGTGAAGTTTAATTCAATCAGAAAGCCGGTGTGTGCTGCAGCTAATAAACCATAATTATTGAAAAGAAAATTGGCTTTTTATCAGTGACAATGTAACTTAATTTCTCAGAATGATAAATACAGTAGAGATGAAGCAATATGCAATGCCAGGTGTTCCTTTTCCGTTCAGAGATTTGTTCGCCTACAATAAACACACACACAGTCAGGGACACACATGTTGATGTTGTTGTTGTTTAGTCGTGTCCAACTCTTCATGACCCCATGGACCAGAGCACGCCAGGCACTCTTCCACTGCCTCCCGCAGTTTGGTCAAACTCATGCTGGTAGCTTCGAGAACACAGTCCCACCATCTCGTCCTCTGTCGTCCCCTTCTCCTTGTGCCCTCAATCTTTCCCAACATCGTGGTCTTTTCCAGGGAGTCTTCTCTTCTCATGAGGTGGCCAAAGTATTGGAGCCTCAGCTTTACGATCTGTCCTTCCAGTGAGCACTCAGGGCTGATTTCCTTCAGAATGGATAGGTTTGATCTTCTTGCAGTCCATGGGACTCTCAAGAGTCTCCTCCAGCACCATAATTCAAAAGCATCAATTCTTCAGCGATCAGCCTTCATATGAAGAATCAAATCAAGATCAACCATAGCCTGGACCATACATAGTTCCACTGATTATTGAAAACTTCTTGATGATGAATCCAACCAAAACAGGTGGACTGAAATGCAACTGTGGCCAAACCATTCATTGCTCTTCATCTGTGACTCATAGTTCATACATCATTCGTGTCCGGTGAAATTTTTCGTAGGGGAACAGTTAGGGCCAGAGACTCCAACTTGATAGGGCTATTGGTGGGGGCAACATTGCACAGGTGAACATCACACCTTCCTCCTTAACCCAGGCAGATGCTTCCCAGACTTTGGGAAGGAGACACCAAACCTCTGAAAGAACGCTGGAGCCCTGCTGCCTCCTTCCCAAAAGCCAGGAGGGCTTTGGGAAAGCAGCAGAAGCACTCTTGGATCCTTTAGGGCAGGCATGTCCAACACATCGATCGTGATAGACCAGTTGATCGCGGGATTGATTTTGGTTGAGAGAAAGAGAGAAGCCCGGCGTGCTCGGACTGGCTCCTCAGATCTGTGTAAACCAGGGGTCAGCAACCTTTTTCAGCCGTGGGCCGGTCCACCGTCCCTCAGACCATGTGGTGGGCCAGACTATATTTAGAATGAAAAAATATATGAATGAATTCCTATGCCCCACAAATAACCCAGAGATGCATTTAAAATAAAAGGACACATACTACTCATGTCAAAACACGCTGATTCCCGGACCATCCATGGTCCGGATTGAGAAGGCGATTGGGCCACATCCGGTCCCCAAGCCTTAGGTTGCCTACCCCGGTGTAAACTAATATAAAAATATAGTTTGACTTTTCTCACTTGTTTAGTTACTTGTCCGTCTAGGAACTGGCTCTGTCATGATGATATCTAAACATAACAACTGTATCCATAAAATAAAGGTCCATTTGTTTTTGTTTGTTTGTTTGTTTGTTTCATAAACTTAAATGACTTTGGGGAGGTGGGGAAGGGAACGCTTGTTGAAGAATGACAATGGAACAGTGTGGTAGATCACTGCCAGTTTTTGATACTGTGATAGTAGATCACAGACTACTTGAAGTTGGACGCCTGTTTTAGGGGGACTAGGCTCATACCTTTAGTCTACTGATCACACGCCACTGCAAGTGCAGGTGTGAACCAGCTGACAAAGATGATGGCAGCCATCACATTCTAACCCAGAGTGGCGTACCCTTCAAGTGTCCCCAAATTTCCAGGGACAGTCCTGGAATTACAAAAGCCACCCCAGCTTCTGATGTGATCCCAAAATGTCCCTATTTCTCCCGCCTGTGTTGCCGTTGCTTTATTGGTGTGTGTTTTTCTTTTTGTGGATCTACCAAAGAATAAAATAAAATAAAAGCGGGATTAAGGGGTGGGGTTTTCCCCCCAGGACAGTGGAAGACATGTCTGCTGTGTCCCATTTGTGTAGTGGTGGCCGCACTCACCCTTCTTCTGATATGAAATGCTCTGTGGGGTGGGGAGGACACGGACAAAATGGGGAGTCGAGGAGGGTCAGTTGGGGGAGTGAGAAACGTCCCTATATTCATCTGAGGAATGTTGGAGAGTATGAGCCTCACATAGAGCACATAGCAGTATGCAGCAATCTAGCCTTGGGGTTACCATCACATGAACTGCAGCGATCAGGCTATCCAGGAACGGCTGGCTGTAGCTAGTGAACCAAACAAAGCTGGTAAAAGGCAGTCCTGGCCACAGAGGATAATTGGGTCTCCAGTGACAAAGATGCACTGTCAATTGCTTTTGGCTTCAAATGGTTTAAAATAAAAAAACACAACTTTGGGGGGGCGGGGTAGGAGGGGAAAATAAGCCAAAAGGGGGTGACAGATGAAGAAATGCAGTCTGACAATTCTATGAAAAACCTTAATGACCACTTGCAACAGCAGGAAATGTTAGTATGATGACTTTGGCAATCAGGATTTGAACCATGAGCCACAGAAGGAATTAAAGATTATTGTATGGTGGTTATGATATAAGAGAGGGAATATAAGGTGCAGCAAGGTGCGGGGGGAATTAAAAACACCATGGAAAACGAGAGGGGAAGTCAGGAAAAAATGAAGAAAAAATTATTATCTTTTGGAATGTATATGTGATTTAATAATAATAATAATAGTAATAATAATAATTTTATTTATACCCCGCCCTCCCCAGCCAAGTGCGGGCTCAGGGCAGCTAACACTGAATATAAATACAGTAAAAACATTAAAAACAAAACAAAAACAAGAAAACACAGTTGATTAAAATATAAATTAGAATGAAAAAATGAAAAAGCAACAGCAGTAAGCAATACAACTCAATCATCTCTGCTTTGTTATGTTAACTAACATATGTAGTGGCACCGGAAGCGCTCGTCTCAAATCAAACCTAGACAAACAGAATCAAACTCCTTGGTTAATTCTAAGTCAGCAATAGCTGCCCCACTGCAAATGCAAAGATTTCTCTGGAGACTGGCTAATATGAAACTATGAAGATATTTGATCTCCCCGATCCACACCCTCACCCCCAAATATATTGTTCCTATCTCACAAAACACAACCCTGGAAAAAGAAAATCACATTTATAGCTGAGAAGCTTTTGCCTAGAGAAAGATTATTCACCAACAAAGCATTATCTTTCACTATTATCTGAAGCCGCATGTAATAACCTGCCAAAGATGGGATATTAGATTACTTGATGTGAAC